TTTTAGGATTTTTAAGTGTGTCTCCAACGAAGCTGGGTTTAAGAAGGGTTTATCATGGCGGTCGTTGGAATCCCTAATAGGTCGTGTGTGTCTGTTGTCCGACGTGAGCTATCTCGGGTGCCTGAACTAAAAGCAAAGTGTGGATCGGTCGCTGAGTTTTTCAAGCTCTGACACATGTTCGCTTCTGTTTCAGGTACTTAGAGGTGAGCTATAGTCATGTCTTCGTCAAGCAGCCACACAATTGATCGCATGTTCAATTCCCCTACAAGCTCGGCAATCCTTAAGGGCACAATCCCTAAGGTTTTCGAGGAGGTCATCACATGGACCTAGATGCGATGGGCTCGTCCGATCATGCTTCGGTGGAGGTCGCTCAGTCAAGGAGATCTCCAGTTCACAGGCTACTAAAGGAACTACAATCCTTGATTGATGCCAAGGATCTTAGGCATATAAATGAGAATTATGTGCCTTAACTCAAGTTAAGGGTTCCAGGAGGCTTCTCTTGGAAGAATCCCCCCACAGGCTGAAAGGCAATCTCTGAGACCCTTTTAAGGTGTGAGATGTCTATTCCCCCTCATTATTTCATCGACAACGTTTTGAGAAGGTTTGACATCGTCCTTCTCTAGCTGTTCACAAACTCATACATCATAATCATAGGTTTGTACATAGCATATCAAATAGCCGAGTTGGGCGAGCCATCTGTTGAAGAGCTCGTCCATTTGCATAGATTAAAGAAGGTCAAGACCAGACATACTACCTCTTCAAGGCGAGGAAGATACATTTCAATGGGCTGGTCGACATTCTAAAGAAGGTCCCGTATTAGGACTCTCAGTTTTTCTTTTATAAGGTCGAGGAGACCGATATTTTTGCTTTGAAAGCTAGTAAGACTTCGACCCCCAGTGTGTATGAAGAGTGGTTTCAAGCTCGATGGTCGAACTAACCAAACTTCTTTGATTTGCAGTTAATGTCGAGCATAATTTTCTCCCCGCTATGAGTTACAGAGGCTTCAGTGCTTCAACGACCTTTCTGATAAGGAGCGCAATGACAACAAGATTATCTCGCTTCCTCGCTTGTAGGCATATGACTTTTGCGAGGGTAACGCCAATTTTATTACCATCCTTGAAAAAGGTAAAGTGTTCACTTGCTAGCGCTTTTTCCTTTTGCATAGGTAGGTCGTTGATTGTTTGCTTCTCCTTTCACAGAAATATGGGCCTAGAAACCAAAGAGCTTGAAGAAAAAAGTGGCAGTTCCTAGGGTTGCCAAGAAGCTGTTGATTGCTCTAGTGAAGAAGCAGCCCACTGATATGCTAATACAAAGCGTAGTAGGGGTGAGCTTGGGGAAGGCCCAAGTGCGAAGAAGCCTGTAACTGCCTCTAAGGCAGTTTGTGGGAAAGGTGCCCCCAAGCCCTAAAAGGGGTTGGCGAAGAAAGCATCCGAGAAACTAGAGGCTTGGGAAAACAGAAAATGCTTGAGCAACATGATGGCTTGAGCAAGAAAAAAGATGCCAAAGCAGAAGAAAATGACCAAGCAGTAGGAGGGCTCAGGGAAACAGAAGGATGCCGAGTAGCAAGGTGACTCGGGCAAGGAGGTTATAGGGTAAGCAGACGGCCCAAAGAAATCTGCGGCCAAGGACTCGAGGCAGCTTAAGTGGCAGTCGATGAATTAATCAACCAACTCCTCTAGCACATCATTATCGGGGTTACGGCGGCCAAAAATGTCCTCACCCTATGAGCTTTCACGGATGTTAGGGATTTGTCTCCCCCATAGCTACTGGCTTAGATGTGCAGCTATACGACGAAGGTACCAATAGTTTGCCCCCTTCTTTATATATATATATATATATATATTCTTTTTATTCCTTGCTGACTTTCACTTTTCCTTTTTTTAGGCTTGCGTGGTGAGCAAGCTCCTCTATGATGAGTGTTACCCCACATTGGAGGGCACTAATCAAGGATGGCAGGAAGCAGAAATGCTTAAGGAGGATGCCTTGGTTAGGGCCGAGGTAGCAGAAAAGGAGAAGGACGAGAAGCAGGCCAAGCTCGAGCAGCTTAAAGAGGAAATGACGACCTTTGGGGTCAAGGAAACGGAGTTCCTTGACAAAATTAAGGCAAGTGAGGCCGCTCGGGCCAAGGTTGAAGCTAAAGCAGTCAAGGTTGAGAAGAGTTTGGCACAGTAGTGAGGTGCCAATAATAAGTTGAACACCGAGCTCTCTTCGGCTCAAAAAACTGCTTTGGATTGGGAACAAAAGTTCAAACAAATCTCGCTGACCTTGCCTAGGAAATAGAAGGTCAACAAAATGTCAAGGCATAAACTGAGCAGCTTAGGCTTCAAATTGGGGAGCTGAATGAGGCTGTTAGGAACCGAGCTTAGGAAACGTCGGTCTTCCTTATGTAGAAGTTGTCGGAAGCTCATCCCTCAATTGACTTCTCTTTTCTGCCACAGTCCTATCAAAAGGAGGTTGACAGAATGAGGACCGAAGCTCAAAGGATAGCCTATGTTTACTCGGATGATTCCGAGCCTGATGGTTAGGGCCATGATGAAGTCGAGGAAGGCCATGATGAAACTAGCATTAATCAGGAGGTTTAGGATCCAGCTCCCTTGGCTATGCTCCCCCTTATTGCTGTCGACCTACCCTCAGCTGAGCCTTCGCAAGATATCCCAGCTCCTACCCCCAAAGAGGATGCCCAGACTCTTGCTGTCTAGGAAACTTTTGCTCAGATTGGCGACAAGCCCCATGATCCTTTAGTTGCTTAGAAGAGTTTTTTTTTTTTTTTTTTAGTTTAGTTTGTAACTAAACTTTCAATCAATGAAAAAGACTTTTTGCATAGATCTGTTGAACAATTTTTTTATTTATGCAGAGTCGTTACGATCGTCCTAATTGGATTTGTCATAAAAAATTCAAATTTTTTCCAAGTTATGCATTGCTCGCTTCTTAAGGAACTTTTCAAATATACGCGTGCAAATCTTATGTGACAACTCTAACTTCAGAATCATTGTCCGTCTCGAGTTTTGGTCGCCGACTTATGACCAATTTCCTTTGACATGTTTTACTTGGATTTTTTCAAGTGTAACTTTGTCGATCTGGGAATTTCACCCTTAATGAGTCGGATTTTGGCGTGACTTATTAAGCTAAGTTTCCTTTTTCCAAACTTATGACTCTGAGTTTTTTAGATGCCATTTTGATTTTCAAAGCAATAAATGATAAATGATAAATAATAAGTAAATAAAAGATGATGAACAAAGAAAAGTTTATGAATAATACCTCTTTTTATTGATAGAATCGTTTGGTCGTAAATGACCTTAACAATAAATGTCTAAAAGAGAATAAAACATGAGTAGAACCTGAGCTGCTCATTAATAATACCTTTGAAAATGCTCGGTATTCCAGGCTCGTAGTATGGCTTCACCATTGAGGCGTTCTAGGTGGAAGGTTCGTGGTGCAAGCTTTTCAGAGATCCTGAATAGACCTTCCTATTTGGGCTCAAGTGTACCCAAGTTTGGCTTTTGTGTATCCTGGACAACCTTTCTGAGGACTAGGTCACCCACTTCAAAGTCCCTGTTCTTGACTTTGGTGTCAAAGTATTGTTTGGCTTGTTGTTGGTACGAGGTAAGCCTTAGCTGAGACTTGGCCCGATGTTCTTCGATTAGGTCTAACCTCAGGCGGAGAAGATCTTTGTTTGTTTCTTTGTTGAAAACTTCCATCCGGAACAAACTAATCCCCATCTCAACTGGGGCCATTGCTTCACACCCATATGATAGAGAGAATGGGGTTTCTTCTGTTGAGCTTCTATCTGTCCTTCTGTAAGACCATAAGGCCTCGGGGCAATTCTTGGCCTATCTTTCCTTTAGGGTATCGAGCTTTTTCTTAATGGTGTGCTTGATAACTTTGTTCACAATTTCTACTTGACCGTTGGCTTGAGGTCGATAAACAACGGCGAAGCTCTTCTTAATACTAAGTCATTCACAGAAATATCTAAAGTCCTCACTATTGAACTATTTTTCATTGTCGGTTATTACAGTGTGAGGGATTCCAAATCTACAAATGATGTTTTTGTAGACAAAGTCTTTCAGCTTGTTTTCTACGTAATGGTAGCTAAAGGCTTGACTTCTGCCCACTTAGTAAAGTAGTCCACAACGACTACTACGAAATTAACGCCCTATTTTCCTTGAGGTAAAGGGCCTATCAGGTTGATGCCCCAAATTGTAAATAGCTAGAGGCTTGTCAAAGTAGTTAACTCCTAGGATGGAGCTCGCGAAACATATGTGAACCTCTATCATTTGTCACATCTGCGCACATAGTCTGCTTCATCGTCAAAGAATGGTGGCCAGTAATAGCCCTGACGAATCACTTTGTATGCTAGAGATCTACCCCCTGCATGGTTCCCATAGATGCCTTCATGGATCTTTCTCAGAACATAGTCTGCATCTTTATGGTCAACACACCGCAATAATGGTGAATTGAACCCACGCTTATACAATTTGTCATTGATGAGCATGTATCGAGCTGATTTTGCGCAAAGTGTTCTGGCTTCATTTTTCCCTTCAGGTAGGCAATTATTGCATCCATCAAGTCGTATCTCTAACTCGTCACTAAGACTGGTTCCTGTAGAGCAGAGATGCTTGGACTTGGGACTTGGGAGGAACTTAACAGGTATTGAATTAGTCTTCTCTTGGTTCATTGTAAAGGCTAGGTGAGCTAGAGCGTCGGCCAATGACTTCTTCTACCTTGGGATCTGAAGAACAGTGAAGGATTTGAACTCCTTAATCTCGAATTTCACTTGTCGGAGATAGGATGCCATTCAGTCTTCCTTTTAAAACCTTGACAATTTTAGCTGGATTTCAATGGATGTATCCAATTGAAAGGACTTTAAGAACTTATAAATCTTATGTAAAGAATTAATGAGTTCATATTATGTTTTATGTATCTTTATGATATTGAAACCAAATTCAACCGACTAGAGCGTAATTTAGATGAATTTAGTTTTGATATTGATGCGAAAGTTAATGAACAAGATCAAAGAACTTCGTAGAGTGGATGTGGAACTAGAGGCTGTTCAATTTGTTGAGCCAAGTAGTAGAGTTAGTGATGATGATATGCGTTTCATAAATTAATTTTATCAAATGTTATTTTGTCACGAGTAATATAGGCATTATGATAAATTACAATAGCTTTAAAATAGTGTTACAATATATTTGAAATACAATAAATTATTTAAAAAAATAGTAGAAATATAATTTAAATTATTTAAAATAATGGTATAAATATAATTAGTTTTTAAATTATTAAATTATCCTATATTTTGGTTGGATCCAATAATAATCATTTTCCTAATCTAAATAGAATAATGGTTTTCTTAATGAATCCACTTGGCATTTACAAAACATGCTACTACACCGTTTTGGGGCAGAAATCCAGTCAAGCTTTCCTTTGCTAAAAACCCTTCTTCCGCTAAAAACCCTTTTGCTATATGCCTCTCTCCCAATGTATGAAATTGCTTTGTCATTAACGCACAAAACTTCAATCTCTTCTCTGCAATAGTGCAACCTTCACTCTTCTCTGCACAAATCGACCAAACTTCACTAGTAGGAAACTTCAATCTCTCTCCCTGTGTATAAAATTTCTTTCTCATATATGTATATTTATGGTATGGTTTTTGGCTTTTTCTATTTGTTCTCTTGTTGGTTGGGTTAGCGGGGTTCTTGGGTTAGATTTTTATGCTACATTTTCTTCATATATTTTGAGAGCTTGACGAACATCTGGTTATGTATTTTCACTTTGAAAACTCTATCAATTAAAATGGTTGAGATATATGCATACAAAGTTTTAGATGTTTAGATTTGAATGTGGAGCTATGTCTTGTATATGCACAAAATGTTTAGAATTGCTTGATTCTGATGGAGTACTGTTTGCCCTTTTTTTTTTTTTTTTTCTATTTCTGTCAGGAATATAGTAATTTTAGCAATAAAAAAAACTGAAAATGGCATTAATTGAATAGTATATACATGAAAATATGCAGAAGTAGACTAGTGTGAATCTCCCTTTGGAAAAGTCACCAAAAAAAAAAAAAAAGTTCTTGTAGTACATTATAAATGCTGGTATTACACAAAATAAACAGAAGTCTTATCATACAAAATAAGCTAGCTTTTGTTTATATCTTGTATCTTTCAATGGTGGATTAGATAATAACTTAATAAATTTCCTCCAGTAGGAATTAAACATTAATTAATTTAAATCAGTATTATTAGATGTCTTTATTGTTTTTTAAATTCCCCAAATATTATTTCAGTCTTGTCCCCCAATATGCAAATGTTTATTCTGTTTCGTGTCTTATATTTTCTAATCAAGTTGATCAAGTTTGTTCTCTATGTATGGTGGATAATTGATAATCTTTCTAATTGTATGATGTAGATGGATAAGAGTTGGATTCATCATCCTAATAGATTGTCAATTGAATATGCCAACGGTGTGCGCACATTTATTGAAATTGCTCGAAATCATGTTGATAGTGATGGGAACACACATTGTCCGTGTCGTAAGTGTCTTAATGCCTTCTTTAAGTCAATCAGTGTTGTTAAGAAACATCTTTTTATGAATGAATTTTCAAGGACATATGAAAATTGGATTTTTCATGAAGATAGTCTATTTGAAGGGTCAACCAATCTGATGCATTCTACTGACATAGACCAACCAACTTCTAATGGTGTAGACATTAATGATGATATGTTAAATGTGTTAAGTGACGTTTGTCGCCCTGCTACCTCCATTAGTTTCAACCACGATAACATGAATGTAGAAGCAGATGCAGTTGATGAGGAAATAGTAACAATGAGCATGAACCTTTTGATCATTTATACAGTGAGGCAGGGAAGAAGTTGTATCTGGGTTGTAAATTATCTGCTTTAACTTTTGTGGTTAGGCTAATGCATTTGAAGGATCTCAACATTTGGAGCAACAAGTCACTTGATATGTTGCTTACACTGTTGAATGAGGTACTACCAAAAGGTTCAAGTTTGCCAAAAAACACCTATGGTGTTAAGAGGATGTTACATGACCTGGGACTTGGATGTGAAAAGATTCATGCGTGCAAATATGATTGTGCATTGTTTTGGAAAGAAAATGAGAAATTGGAAAATTGTCATGTATGTGATGAATCTCGTTATAAGATGAATAATGGCATTGGGAAAAAGATACCACATAAAGTACTTAGATACTTTCCATTGAAGCTGAGATTGCAGAGATTATTTATGTCGAGGCATACATCGGTTGATATGTGGTGGCATACTGAGAAGCGAGTTAATGATGGTATGCTTCGACATCCAGCTGATGGGAAGGAGTGGAAAAAGGTTGATAGGTTATATCCATCATTTGCTAGTGATGCACGAAATGTTCGATTGGGACTTGCTTAAGATGGTTTTAATCCTTTTGGTAATATGTCTAATTCGTATAGCATGTGGCCAGTTATTCTTGTACCCTATAATCTACCACCGTGGAAATGTATTAAAGAGCCATACTTGATAACGTATCTTCTTATACCAGGGCCATAATCACCTGGTAGAGAAATTGAAGTGTTTTTACATCCATTAATTGAAGAACTCAAAGAGTTATGGTCGGTTGGTGCGTTGACATTTGATTTTTCAATTGGCAAGAGTTTTCAGATGCATGTTGCTCTCTTATGGATAATTAACAACTTTCCAGCATATGGAAATTTATCGGGTTGGAGCACTAAAGGTTATATGGCATGTCCAGTATGTAACAAGAAGACTTCATCTACGTGGTTGAGAAGTAAGATATGTTATATAGATCATCGATGATTTTTACATTCTGGGCATGCATGGAGACGAAATCGACTACACAATAATAAACTAGAAACTAGAGCGGCACCGAGGGAGTTATCAGGGGTCGATATTCTGAATCAATTAAGAAGTGTTGAGATGGTGAAATTGGGAAAGAACCCAAGTAATCAAGATAGAAAGCAAAAACGTACACCAGCAGAATTGAATTGGACGAAAAAAAGTATTTTCTTCGAATTGGAATATTGGTCCTCTTTAAAAGTACGACATAATATAGATGTCATGCATGTGGAGAAAAATATTTGTGATAATGTTGTTGGGACAATTTTGTGCATTGATGGAAAATCAAAGGATACTGATAAAGCTCGAATGGATTTGCAAGATATGAACATGAGGAAGGAATTGCATTTGGTGAAAATTGGTGATAGATACATTAAACCACGTGCAACATACACTTTGACACTACAAGAAAGAAAAGACTTTTGTAACTTTCTTAAGACAATTAAATTTCCTGATGGTTATGCAGCTAACATATCAAAAAATGTAAGTGTTAAAGATGGTAAACTTGGATCACTTAAAAGTCACGATTGTCATGTTTTACTTCAACGAACTTCCCATTGCCATTAGGAAATTTTTGCCATGTGACATTTATGCTGCACTGGTGGAGTTATCTTGTTTTTTTAAACAAATTTTCACCACGTCAATTACAAAGGATATGTTGCACAAGTTGGAGGAACATATCGTGTTAATACTTTGTAAATTAGAAAGGAATTTTCCATCGGCCTTTTTTGATATCATGGTTGATGTAGCTGTTCATTTACCACGTGAGGCAAGACTTGCAGGACCAGTTGGATTTCGATGGATGTATCCAATTGAAAGGGCTTTAGGAACTTATAAATCTTATGTAAAGAATAAAGCAAGACCCAAAGGCTCTATTGCCGAGGCATACATTGTTAATGAGTCATTGACATTCTGTTCTATGTATCTTCATGATATTGAGACTAAATTCAACCGACTAGAGCGTAATTTTGATGACAATGACAAAGTGTGTGATGCATCTATTTTCAAGCATAAAGTTAGTCCATATGGTGGGAGGCAACTACTGCAGTTACCACAAGCAGAAGTTGATAAAATACATTGGTACATTCTTAATAATTGTGTCGAATTGCGTGATTATTTAGAGTAAGTGATATTTTTGCTAACCTTATGAATTTTTTGTTTTTGTGAGGTTTTTATTTTGTCATTTTATATGATATGTTCTAACTTTGTTTAATCTTTTGTTGTATCTTATGAAAAAATGTTTAGTGAGCACATGCTTGAATTAGCAAAAGAAAGTGAAGGCACTAATATTTCAGAGGTGGAAATATTGAAAAGGCAACAAAAAAAGTTTCCTGACTGGCTTGAACATCGGGTAAGTTGTCGAACATTTTGGATCTTATTATTATTATTTTTTTTTTATGGTTTTCAACTTTTATATTGATCATATATTTTAATCATTTTTTTTTTGTTTGGTAGATGAAAGTGTTACGTTCTCAAGGAGCAGTTGAGGCTACTGATGATTTGTATTAATTAGTGTGTAAGCCTGATAGACGAGTGTCTAAATATAGTGCTTGTATTGTTGATGGAGTACGATTCACTGTGAAAGATCGTGATGATCGACTCACAACCCAAAAGTGTTTTAGTGTATGAGGAACTTGAAGATGATGATAATGGTGGTGGTGATGATGATGAGAGGATGGAATTTTATGGAATTCTTGATTCAGTTGTTGAAGTGAATTATATTTATGGCAGAAGTGTGATTTTGTTTAAATGCACTTGGTTTGACACTGACCCTAAAAAAAATGGGTGTGAAGGGATTTTCACTTTACAAGCATCAATGTGAGTCACAAATGGTATGCCAATGATCCTTATGTGTTAGCATATCAAGCTAAACAAGTTTTCTACATCGATGATCCTAAGCTAGGGGTCAGTTGGAAAGTTATATAGAAGGTGCAACATAGGCATTTGTACGACATTCCTGATAACATTGTGGAAGATCAATCGACAATGCATGATGCATATCAAGCCAATAATTCATATGAATTTAGTTTTCATATTGATGCAGAAGTTAAGGAACAAGAAGAACTTCATAGGGTGGATGTGGAACTAGAGATTGTTCAATTTGTGGAGCCAAGTAGTAGAGTTAGTGATGATGATAATAGTTTCATAAATGATGATAGTGAAAATGAGAGGAGTGATGAAAGTGAAGATGTATAAGTTGAAGATGATATTGAGAATTAATAATATTTATTATTGTCATCTAAATTTAATTTGCATAATTGTGATATGATTTTTCTTTGTGCATTAATTTTGATTTGTTTGCTTTATATTATTAATTTAATGTACTAAATTTAATATTTAATATTTAAATATAAATATTAAATAATGTTATAAATTTATTATAATAAAATAAAAAAATAATACTAACAATAACCTAATAACAATAACAATAATAAATAATAATAATTTTAAACAGCAACAAACAAGTACAAAACTTAAGCTGCCAACAGTGGAAACCTGAAAAACAATACAAAATAAATAATAATAATAATAATTTTGATTTCTTTTATTAATTACTGATTAGTTTTAAGTTTTCAATTATTGTCATATAAATATAAAATTATATTAAAAATTAAATTCTAACAAACTAATGGCAATGATTTTAAGAAAATCGACACCAAAATTTTTTCACGACAAAACAGAGATTGCGTCGCAATACGTTTTTTGCATTGTTTTTTATATTTGCGTCGCCAAAAACGTTTCTCACTGAACAATTTGTTGCATAGCCAGATGAATTTTGTGTCGTTTTTTATATTTTCGTTGCCAAAAACGTTTCCCAACGAACAATTTGTTGCGTAGCCAAATGGATTTTGCGTCATTTTTTTATATTTTCGTCGCAAAAAACCATTCCTGACGCACAATTTATTGCATAGCTAGATGGATTTTACATCGTTGTTTATATTTTCGTTGCCAAACACGTTTCCCGACGCATAATTTGTTGCGTTGCTAAATGGATTTTGCGTCATTTTTTATATTTTCATCGCCAAAACGTTTCCCGATGCACAATTTGTTGCGTAGCCAAATGGATTCTGCTTTGCTTTTTGTATTTTGGTCGCCAAAAATGTATTACGACGGGCCTTTTGTTGTGTAGCTAAACTTCGTTGGCGTCGCTTTATATATGTTCGTCGCCAAAAGCATTTTATGGCACCATGCATTTGCTTTGCTAAATACTTTTGGCTACGTTTTGCATTACTTTCGGCTCTTAAAAGTATCCACGGTGACATATAGTTACGTCGCGAAACAACTTGGGCATCGCTTTTTTTATTTTCATCAGGAAAAACATTGTATGAGGAATTATGTTGTCGCTAAGTCCATCGCCAATTTGCTTCCTGCCATCTTGTAACAGCCAACATTGAGGTACATGATTTAAATTATGTTGTATAGCCCTTAGTTAAATTTTGTTAGAATTATTTTAAGAGAATTTGAAGAAAATGCCTTAAATTTGCATTAAGGGTAAAATATTCTTTTCTCTCAAAACTAGTTGTTTTTTTGGGGAGTGAAAAGTGATAGAAAATCATAGAGAATTCAATAAAAGTGAAGGCATTTTGGTAATTGACTAAGGGACAAAGATGGAATTGCCTTCTAAGGGACAAAGATGGAATTTTTAGGAAAGAGTAAGGGCAAAATGAGAAAGTGAGTTTATAAACTAAAATGTTAAGGGTTTCAAACCCTTATTTCGTTCATACCACCCCCACACTCCTCCTCCTTTTTCTCTCAAATTTTCATTCACTTTTCCAAGGAATTTGAGGGCTTTTGAGTAGATTTTCATAGGGTTTTGATTCAAGGCATCAAAAGGTAAGGATTCATACTCTTTATCATGATTTATTGTGTAAAGGTTGAGTTCTTATGAAGTTTGCTTAGGTTAAGAGAAGATTGGAATCCAAGAAAGTAGAGAGTTTGAGAGACTACTCAAGCACAAGGTAAGTAAATTCCACTCAAAATCCAACTCAAGCTAAATTTAAGAATTCAGTGAGTAGAGATTTATTTTATATATGCATAGTTGTGATTATTGAGAAATTAGTGAGATGTATGATGTATTATGCTTATTGTTGGATATATTTAATATGAGAAGTATATGTGATGATTTTGATGGGTTGAAATTGGAAGAATTGGAGAAATTTTGGGAGTGTGTTTGCCATGTAGCATGTGATGCTACAAGAGAGTTTTTCTCTCATTTTGGATGCTTTTAGAAATAATAGAATGATATGAATCAGGGTTTGTTGTGCACAACTAATGTTTGATGAAATGCCTAAGTGAAAACATGTTACCAAACTGCCCTGTCACACAGCCTGACTTTCTAAGTGATTTTTGGGCATCTTACAACTATGAACTGGGTTTAGACCAAAACATAAAAGTTGTAGCCTGTCTCAAGCTTTAAAACGAGACTAAAACCGTATGAATCAATGTGTAAACTCAAGTTATGTCTTCTTGAGTATGACCTGGCAGAATGACTATCTTGATGCAATATTGCTTTGTGCATTTCAAAGTGCATATAAGTAAGTAAACTTAATGAACAG